TGTCGAAACATCGTCGAGTGAAGGAGCTGGGCGAGGGTAGGCGATGCGGGCACCGAAATAGGCGGCAGCGATCATGATCTTCCATTCGAGACACTCGTAACCATACCAAAATGCCCATGGCAGAGCCGAGAGAATCAGAAAGACTGCCGGACCTGTTCTATAGCGCACTATATTCGGTGGCACAGAATCTTCATTTCGAATTGCATTCACAAAGCAGGCCACGAGCCGGGCGACGTAGTGTGCAGCAAAAAAACTCCAGATGGGGAACAGAGTGGTCCGGAAAATAGTATGTGGGCACTGTTCCACCGGGGTGCAGTAGATGTACGCCGCGAGGAGCGACAGAGCATCGATGAAAACGAAGCCACGGCTTCTCCGAATAGAACCAAAAATTTCCTGGGCGACGAACTGTCCGAGCGAATATGGCGCAGACCAATGGAGATATTTCGAAACCAGGACGCCAATGACGAAAGGCGTGATATCGAAGAAGCAGAAGCCACCCAGGTGTGCATCGAGCACTCTTCCGACCCAGGCAGTGAACGCAAGCAGAAGGTACCACGCAAGGTCCTTCTGGTCCTGGAATCTGAAGTAGGTGACAGGGAAGCTATGGGCGAAGATGGTAGCTGCTACAATGAAGATGGAGCGGGTGATTTCGTTGAACGACCGGGGGAGTGAGAATAACTCCGCGAGCCGCCATTCCATCCAGTTTGTAACTTGCCACCCGTGCAAGTCTCTCAAAATTGCGACATATTCGGGTCCAACGATATCTCGCAACCTCTCTGGTAGGAGTCCGGCGATAGAGGAAACCACGGTTCCAAAGACTCCGCCGATAATCCGAAGCATAACATCAAAGACTAGGCTGATACGCTGGAAAGGCGCGACCAGTGGACGTGGTACCCAGTCTAGCAGCGGTGGGGAAGGATACTGAAGCAAGGCACGCTTAAATGCCGCTCTTTTCAAGTCCCTACGGACATGTGTACAGGCTTCCACGAACAAGTCAGGTGTGAAGACCGTGGCCATCGTTGTACGGCATAATGCTGCTCTCGTTTCGCGTGAGAGCCCAGGAAGCTTAGTGGTCGTAAAAAAGACAACTTTGGCAATGTCATCTCTGAGGCATTTCCAAGGATGGTCCTGGAGAATCTGGACAGCTCTTATGAAGGGAGGTTGGACGGAAGACACGAACTTGGTAATGTCATCTTTGATGAATCCCCAAGGATCGTCCTGGAGCAACCGTAGAGCTCCTGAGAACGATGCCCAGGAGAGAGACGGCAATCTCGATGGGAGTATAGATTCGCGCTTGGGGGGATTCTTTGGGGACTTGCGCGGAGAGTCACTGTTCCGAGACGGGCTGCTTGTAGACGGGCTAGACTTTCTAGAAGACGATTCGCTAGAAGATGACTTCTTGGATGTAGACGGCCTAGACGTAGACGGGTTAGTCGTAGACTTGCCAGACGTAGACGGGCTGCCTGTAGACTTAATTGACGAGTTCCTCCTGCCCCAGGGAAAGTTCCACCTTCCAGGAACACGGTGAGACTTTTCATCCCCGGAAGCACCTCCAGATCCAACGTCTGTCGTCGCATTCTTGCTTCCAGTCGAACGGTCTCCCGCGCCGTCATGTTGGCCTTCGCCTTTTGAGACAGGCTCATCAGTAGGCTGGCCAGACGAACCATCGGATGTAGTTGCAGCAGGGTGAATGATCGACTTAGTCGTCCACAGCCAATGCGTCGTAGTGAAAGTCTGACACTCCGGCACATAACACGAAGTTTTATCGACGGTCTGCAGAGGCGATATGGATGTAGAGATGAGGTGATCAGTTTTGCCTCTGTAATGCTCAAACTGCGTGATAGTGACAGTTGTTGTAACCGTGATGTCCGGTCGTCTGAGCTTAGTGACAATGGGGTTTGTTTCATTTGGCTGTGGGGCTTCGGGTCCTTGGAGCCAGTTGTGGAGCCAGGACGGTAAGCCACTGATTTCAGGTGCCACCCAGTGCTCTGGTGGAACGCTTCCGTATCGATCGGTACAATTCACAGGGTTGATGTATTCAGGATCGAATCCTTTCGTCAGGCGAAGCCAGTCATAGATCAGTTGGTTGAGATCTTCACATTCTTCGACGTTTTTGGGCATCTTCTTGTTGGTGGAGGTTTCCAATCCGCGCCAGATGGTCTCGAGCAATTTGTTGTTTGGATCCACGTTGCGGGGTTGAGGGTAAGGAAAGTTGCTCTCTAAATCGGTACGATTGAGAGGGTTTGAATCAATGGGTGCTCGGATGGTTGTGAGGTTTGGAAAATAGTAAGGAACAGCCAGCGAGCCCACGACAGCAGCATAGGCATAGGCAGCCGGCATGGGATAGTCGTATACGAACTGCCCAGCAGCCAACGCGCCGTGCCATAGTTGTACTGCCATTTTGGCAGGTAAGTATGGTGTAGACTATTAGACAGGGAAGCACGAAAATTATGTCGCGTGCAACGCGGTGTACTGTTATCGAGCGAATGTTGGCGTTTAAAGTTTGCGAAAAATGGAAACTTGGACCATACGGATGGCGGACATGCTAGACGTCCAACTTTAATCTCCATGTCTGCTTGTACGGGTTGGGGCGTCCGTCGTGGCAGAGAACAAAGGTTACGCACAATGAACGGCGACGGAAGCAGCAAGCCATCGAGGTTGCCGTCCAATTACTGGTGTTGTATGATGGATGAAAGAATGTGACAAAGGAAGGGACAGGCAACGAAAGAAGCCATGTGAGCTGAGAAAGGTGATCAAGACTGAGAAGGAAGGGGTGGTACTTGAGCGCGCTTGCCACATTGGAGTGTGTGTAACCGCACATAGAAGGCCAAACCCTCTGCGCGTTCCGCACGCTCCAATGCGATGAGAGTTAGGCTGTCAGCATCCTTCAATCTAATACCAATCATCAAGGATATCCATAAGCCTCTTCAGGGTTAATAATTAGGACGCAAAAGCGTCATTCGCAGGCGGTTTTTGTCATGAAAGCGTTCCGACACGAAAGCCAACTGCCCTACGATGATTCCTATTGACACTGAAAGACGTCTTGAGCGCTTCCTAAGCTTAACCTGCCTGACTTCTCGTTGCATACTCTCAATGTCCAAGGTGCTCCGACTACGAACAAAGGGATGAGACTATATTTAGCGCATCCGCTTGTGTATCTTCCATCGCGACAAACACTACTGCACATGTTTGTGACAATGAGTTGCGCAGCAATAGCTATGCCAGTTGCAGCCTGTGTACACGTTAACAGCGCCGTCGGGCTCGTCGCCGGGGCGCAGTTGAGAGAGCCCGTGATATCGTGCGCTCTGCCGACTGGAATTGTTTGGGGCGGTCGGATTTGCTTTCTTTTTCAGAAGCGGCGGCTGCACATACCCATGACAGGCGCCAGGCTGCAGCCCTCTGACGGTAAGCTCGGAACGTGAATGGTGAGACGCGTTGGCCCAAGGTGAGCGTCTGCTGATGAGTTCCTCGGAGGCTGACTGCGAGGCTCAGGTTCGTTCCCTTAGATCTTTCGGATCCTCACGATACGTCATAATTTCGTCCAGTTAAGGCAGCAGGATGACAGGTATGCGAAACCTGGTCAATTGCCCTGTTCGGTGTGCCGTCGCGTAGCAAATACCTCTGTCGCATTGGCAGCGATCCGCAAGACCATCCTCACACCGCGTCCTGGTCCACATCCGTTATGGCCCTCCTCGCAACAGCAACAACCTCCCACGCTCGCCCACCCACATCATCTGCCCCTCTCACCTCGACGTCCCACCCCTCAAACACACCCTTGTAATCCTCCCAATCCGCCGTCGGTCCAACCCACACCACGACCCTCACACTGCCTGCGCCAGACTCTCTAATGTACTCTTCGACAAGCCCCACCCTTCTCGGATACACAAACATCCAGCCCTCCGCCTCGGCGGCAAGCGGCTCCAGAAAGCGGCTACCAGCCACCTCGCGATGGTGTGAGCGCGGTAGATGTGTGTTCGAACTGGGGTGGACTTCTACGCCGACGATGTTCAGGCTGTAGGGTGGAGCGAGGAGGAGCGCTTCGAGGAGGCCGTAACCGGAGCCTATGGAGAGGGTGAGGCGCGGTGCGGGCGGGAGGAGGGAGGCGAGGTGCGCGAGGAGCGGGGTGCTGAGGGCGAGGCAGCAGGAGGGGTGGACGGTGGGTGTAGGCGAGAGCGATGGGAGGAGGATTCGAGGCGGTTCGGGGTCGTATTCGGGGTCGAAGTCGTTGGGCGCGACCATCGTGGACATGGAGCCTATGCGGTTCGCGACGTGCGATGGATGGCTTAAAGATGCGCGAGGGAGACACATGAGTATGGCGGGATAGGAGATATCGATGCGTTCGTGACGCCTCCCTCGCGCGCGTCGAGCGGAGGTCCCGGGTGGGTTTATGGAGAGGGGAGGATTGATTGACGAAATCCAACGACCGTAACGCGTCGGACGTAAACCGGACTTTAGCACGCGTCCTCCCACGCATGCTTCACCGCAATCGCTGCAGCTGCGCTTGCCCATCGTTCCGTTCAATCTGATCCAGACCAATAGCTAGTAGATGGGCAGACAGCTTTCTCGCTGTCCCGCGCGTGCACTCCGCATGAAAGGTTCAGGGAACTTGGTAGACATGTTCATTGTAGTCGCGTTTCTACCTACCACGACGGAGATTCGCACCACGACGAGAGAGTTGCATTGCAAGCATACTAGAATCCGAAAGTATCTTCTAGGAAAGAATATGTTCCAGAAAAGAGATATCTGCAGCCTCTTGTTCCTCGCTTTAAGCCACAACGCTGCGCCAGCGGCCGTTTCCATCCCATCCCCTCTCGCCCCGCCCGCCCCACCGAACCGAGCCACGTCGCCAATTGGCTTCTGCAGAACCCGCACAACCGCAGAATACCCCGCTACGCCGTTCATCGCAGAGAATGGCGCGTTTTGGTCAGTTTCTGGTATATGTACCATTTTTCTTGGAGAACTGACATTAAATCCTCTCGACAGCGTACGGATTTCTAAACGCCCGCATGGCTTAGTGGTACAGCGTGTCACTCGTAGTATATGCGTTATGACAAGATCCCTCGTTCGATTCGGGGTGTGGGCAGCTTTTTGGCGTCGGGGGGAGCGGTTTGCGATTTTTGGGTGTTTTGAGCGCAGCTTTTATGAGAACTGTCTTTTTTTTTTTTTTTGCCTGTTTGATGTGAGAGCGTAAAGGAGGTTATTGTGCCAGGGATTGGAGTAAGGCATTAGGGCAATTGGGTTTGGGGGAGGTTTGTGAGGATGGCAGTTGGATGAACAGAAGGATGGGATTGTATAGACTGGTGTACGGATGGCTTCTTCACTAGATAGATTGCAATGTTGCAAAGACGGGAAAAGGCTGCTATTCAGCTCTGAGTCGCTACTCCGCCCGGCAAACCGAAGTACGAAATACCTACCATAACAGATGCGCAGTGCCACAAGCCCGAAGCAGAGATCCCATATGAGAGCCATGGGTCACACCAATCTGATTCTGCCATCGCAGTACCGTTCTCTACAGCTCACTCTCATACGTCCCCTCCCAACAACCTTCCCCTCGATCTCCGCGCTACCTCCCCCTCCGTCGGCACCTTCCCCATCCTCCCCAAATTCAACTTCTCACCCAGCCCCACCAGCACAAAGAAATACCGATGCGGCCCATGTCCCTCGGCGGCCGCGCAGGAATGTATACCTGCTCCCGCCTATTCTTCCCAACACGCCATCCGCTCTTGATAACCTTCATGCCGTTCTCCTCCCCCAGCACCTCCAAGTCCTCCGGCGCCAGCGAAGTCGTGGTGGGCAGTATGCCAAGGTACATGCCGTGGACGTTTGCGTGGCCGAGCGGGGCGTCTGGGTCCTCTGCGAGGAAGTGTAATTCCTTCACGTTTGAGGCGGCGGCAGGCCAGGTGAAGCGCAGGATGCGACCGGCGCCGAAAGCAGAATGCTCGTCGCGGAGGCGCGCGCCTGGGGGCCCGCAGTCGGGAGAGTCGATGGCGAGTGTCGGCTTCGGACGCAGCTTGAAGGGCGCGGTGTTGAAGACGAGATCGGCGTCGTAGCCGCGGCGGCGGTAGAGGAGACGGCCGAGGCAGAATTCTAGGAAGCGGAGGAGCCACACTGTGGGCGCAGGGGGCGTTGGAGTCACATAGTGGGCGGTGACGTTGCGGGGGAGAGATTTATGTGGTGTTTTGAGGAAGGTGTGATGCTCGCGACTGCCCGGAATTAGGGCACGGCGTTAGCGTGGGAGGGTCGCTGCGATGCTTCATACGCTTTTCCTCCTCCACTTCATCTCACACGATGTGTCTTCATCCATGGAACTTCACTGAGATCGGTATTACAGGCGTCTAATGCGAGGCCTCTTTTCGCCCGTTGATGCGGGTGTCAGTCTGCGGTGCTCTCGAGCGGCAAAGCGCAGTGAGAAAGCGAAACTGTATTACTTCCTGCACTTACGACTAAAACTGCTACCAAACATACACCGTCCGCAGACTCGAGAGATCTAGCAATATGAAAAGGACACGCGCAGCATAGCCCGCCACATCGCGACTGTGCGATACATCTTCCATCAGCACCTACGAGCAGTCAAACGCGCCCAACAGTCCACAAAGCTTTAGGATACGCCCCCGGCAACAGAAGCTCCTCGGAGCTGTTAGACTGGCTCAAGCTCAGCCATGTGTCGAGTACTGGCGGTCCGCGCCTACTTTCTTGTGAAGACTTTGAGCAATGGGCAAGGCTCTCCGTATCTGGATGAGGGGTGTTTGTCACGTCGACCACAAATACCGTTCCTGCCGGCTTAAAGATCTCACAAGACTTCGCCGTCGACACGTCTGGGTCTTCCAGACCCAGTGCCGCGATGACGGATGACTCATCTGTCTCCAGATCCGCCTCTTGGACACTGGCGATACTGACTGGCTCGCTAGTCGTCGAGCTTTGATCTTCTCTGTCGTTGACTACTTTTTGCTCATTGCTCCGCGCCGGAATTGCTTCATCCTTCACGGGCGGTTCGTTCCCGTTGGTGCCTTCAACAGCGGACTTCTTAGGTTCGGCCGTGTCAAGCTCGAAGCACACCTGCGTACTGGCCTGACTTTTCCTCCTTTTCCTATTATCTATGATGCGTCTGTCACGCTCATTAGCAAATTTACGCAGGTAGCAATCCTCGTCTCTTTTATGTCGATGGTAACGACAAGGAGACTCCAATCGTTGGCGCCACTCCGAATTAGCCAGCCGCTCCATCGCGGCCTCAAGTGCAACCGCGGCAAACTCATGAGGCAGGTATTTCGTGATGCTGCGGCTGAAATTCTTCAGCTCACCATCGATACACCGATCAACGACAAGCTGCTTGAGCCGCGATGCAATGTTCTCTCCGGAAAAGAGCAAGCATATCGTATCTACATCTGCAGCCTTTCCTGGCTTGAGGTTCCCGCACAGCATGTCCATCACGCGGTCCGCGAACTCCGTGTCATTCATGAACGAGGCGCCGAATGTGTAAAGGTTGAAGAGACCCCAACAGTGCATCCACGTGTAGTTTCCATCGCCATCGATTGCTTCAGGGCAGATGTCGACGTCAATTATTCCCGTTCTCGTGTACTTTTGCCAAATCTTCAACGGCTCTCTCATTTCAAGCGGAAGTGGTCCGATAGCAGGGAGACGAGAACTTCGGGCTTGGTTGGCCGCTTTTGGCGTGTTCTGGCCCCTGGGTCGAGCAATGGGCGTGACCTGGCCAGAGGAATCAGAGGATCTTGGCTCTGGTAGGGGCATGTCTTCTCCCTGTTCGATGATGGGAAAGAAAGGTGACCCTGTTTCGAAGTCGCCATAGATGACGCTATGGTGATTCGATTTCAAGGCTTCATTGTTGTTGTTTCCACGACTGCGGATCTTGGTAGTCGAAATTGGCGGACTGCTTCCCTCCAGCTCGACTGCAGGTGGCGGTGGTGACCGCACTGGCTCCGGTGGATTTAATCTGAGCGGATTTGGCAGCAGGATCTTCGGCGGTGCTGTATGCTGATGCGCCCGTGGAGGCGGCTCCATTGAACTTGTTCGCGGTGGCAACCTATACTCCATCGCAAAGGCCGTCAACGACAGCACGCTCGCTTCGTCATCATCGGGCGACTCCGATCTGGAAGCTTTTCCGCTCCCAGTATCAAATCCTCCTCTCGGAGTAGGTACTCCTACACCAAGCAACAAATCCGCGGTCTCGGTTCCCTTCTTGAAGTCCTGAGGGCTTCCGATCACGAGTGGTGAACTGCCGTTTTTCGGCCGCTTCTTCGCACTCCGCATCGATTTGACTAGTTTTCGAGCCGTTGTGGAAGATGGATAAGAAGTGCAAGGGGATGACGTTGAAGAAGTCTGCACAGGATACCTTTTCGGGCTGAGCTGTGAAGAGGTCTGGTAAGGCGTTATCAACTGTTGAGTCTGTCCGCTGAATCGTCGTAACATAGGGTTAGGCTGCTGTGAGCTGATAGAATCTTGATATGGTGATGGCCTTGGGTACATCCAGAGCTTTATACCACATCTACCCCTTCTCAAACGTCGACGAAGTCGGTTTGCCCAATGAAAACGCATCACGAAGAGCAAAATGGAATGTGGTATCGAAAACGCCCAATGAGCGCCACGACGCGTTGGTGTAAAGAGCAATGGTGAATAGGAAAGACCTTGAGAGCGTTGGCACTTCACTGTGCGTCGGTTTCTATGAGGCAAGCATTGACTCGTAGGTCAAATATCACAACATCAAGTGAATCACAATGCCACACGTCGAGTCAAAGGATACCGAAGCAAACACCGCACCCCGCCGAGGCCTCAAACAATTGCGAACTCGCTGTGCCTCGCCACCATGTCCAATCGAGCCTCTAAGAATCTACTGTTTGAGCAATCAACCCGTACAGTCCATCTAATAGCCGGACATGTATCCTCTCCAACCAGCATCTCGCAAACTTCCATAAGTCTGCCCGTTGTAGCTGCAGAAAGGTCCCCGTACCTCGGTGCACGCCTACGGTCGGCTTCTGTCCACGGCGACAGCATCATCGTCGAGCTACCAAACGTCGACCCCGCGGCTCTCAGACTCTACGCTTGGTGGCTGCAGTTCGAAAACGCGCCTCTGTTCTTGCACGGCGACAAGGGTCCTCTTGCGCAACCACGCCACACGCTCATCTGGCGCGAGTGCTTCGATCTGATCCAAGCGCATAGCCTTGGCTCTAAATTTGGAGACGCAGACTTTCGGCAATACATCCTGGGTCAGCTGGATGCTTGGCTGGATCCCCAGCAAGATCCAGACCTGGAGCTGCTGGACTATCTCTGGGAAAAGGACAGAGATGTGAGCGATGAACTACTGTGCTTTGTTATGGGGCATATGTTGCAGATGGAAATGAAGAGGGCGGGGCTGCTGGTCGGGTGGATGAAAAGGTTGATCGGTGGGAGGCGGATGATGGATTATATCGAGGGTATGAGGGAGTCTGGAAGAAGAGGTACGGCAGTGAGTGCTACGAAGAGTTTCAAGAGCCGGGAGTCGAGTTCGGGCAAGTTGGAAAGGGTGGAGAGAGGAGTCGCTACGACGAAAAGAGAAGATTCTCCAGCCGTGGAAGATGTAGTCGTATCCGAACCAGCATCGCGAGACAGAACGCCACCGTCATTTTACAGAAAAAGGAGGGTGGAGGTACCGACTTTCGACGGTTGCATTCAGCAAGACCGCGAAGGTGCCATCGCAACCGCAGCCCCAGAGAATCGGAGGTCGCAAAGAGGGAATACTGCTCACGTACCGAGGCCTGCCACTTTTGCGGTCCCCAAACGCAAACCGACACAGCGCACAATTACGCCGCAGGGACACCTGGAGCAGTTACCTCAGGCTTTACGGATACATCCGAAAGCACTCGCGAGCATCGTCAACGCCAACATCCACGCGGAGATGGAGAGGCAGAGCACGTCTAACCCCAAATTCCCCCCTTTACCAAGTCTCCACCCATCAATCCGCGAGGCACTGCATTCCACCTTAAAGCCAACACGATCTCGAAACGTTGGACGAACGCCGAAAGAAGACCCTCCCGAGATGAGGGGAGGGGCACACAGTGCCTCGCTAGCACGTAAGACTGCGACAATGCCAGA